AACTCCCAGGAACATTACAGCCAAAGTTGAAAGTCCCAAGGCAAACAAAAAAATACCGCAAGCAGGCAGAAAGAATTCAAGTGCTGAGGAGTGATCACCCAAGATGTAGCAGACACCACTTCTTAAGCAGCAGAGATATATTTGAGAAGGGTAAAAGATCTAGGCTAACAATAATAAATAACTTACCTTGCCACGTTGAGTATAATCGTGCTGGGGAGAAAATGAATCTTTAATGAAATTTAGAACTACAGGCACCTCTGATGAGAAAACCAGAGCTAAAGAGAAGCTTTGACGTACAAACATAGGAGTCAAGAGAAGCATAAAAAGGTAAATATGAGGAATCAATTATGAGGAATTAAACAAAGTTTAACTGTTTACATTCTCATATGGGGTGATAGCACGTGTAGTCATTGAGAACTCTGTTTTCATCAGAGGAGCATAAAGGTAGTCTAATTAGATAGAAGGCCTGGGAGTGATTCTGCTCTGTTTTAGTGATTTCAAAAGAAGGATGGAAAGAGTGGAGAACGGGGGGCAGCTAGGTGGCGTGGTGGATAGAGCACCAATCCTGAAGTCAGGAGGACCTGAGTTCAAATTTGGCCTCAAACCAAACACTTGACATTTACTAGCTGTATGACCCTGGGCAAGTCACTTAACCCCAATTGCCTAAAAATTAAAAAAAAAAGAGTAGAGAACAGGAACACAGTGGAAGAGGGAAGAAGGGATAAGAAAACTAGAGGAAATTATCCCACTTAAAGGGAGTACACAAGTAGAAGTCTATACAATAAAATAGGGGAATGGGGGGAAAGGGGAGCACTTGAACCTCACTTTCATCTGTTCAAAGAAGGAGAGAATACACACACACACACACACACACACACACAGAGATTTGGGTAGGAAAATACATCTTATGCAATAGAGAAATAGGAGGGAGAGGAGTTCGTGGAAAAGGCAGGGGGAGGAGCATTCAGAAGAAGTCTAGATTAGGGGAAGGATTAGTCAGAAGCAATACAAACTCTTAAAGAGGGAGGAAAGAGAAGGAGAAGTATAATAGAGTAGGATTAAGTGAAAAATAGTTAACACTAGGATGTGAATAGGATGAACTCACCCATAAAACCAGAAGGGATAGCAAAATGGATTTGAAACCAGAATCAATATGTGTTTTTGATAAACATACTTTAAACAGAAAGATACAGACAAATTTATCATAAGGGGCTGGAGCAGAATCTATTATGCTTCAGCTAAAATAAAAAAATGCAGGGGTAACTTAAGCAAAGTAAGTCTAATTAAAAGAAATAAATAGAGAAACAACATTCTGCCAAAAGGTATGACAATGAGTCAATATCAATACTAAACATATATGGAATAGTATCTAAATTCTTAAATGAAAAATGAGTTATAGAAACAGATTGTGAAATATAATAGTCAGGATCTCAATCTACATCTCTCAGACGTAAACAAATCTTTTGGGGGAAGCAGTTAAGGATCTGAATAGAATTTTAGGAAGATTAGTTGTTGTAGACCTATGGAGAATATTGAATGGGAATAGAGCTGTTTCTAAGCTGTGCTTGTCACCTTCACAAAAACTGACCATGTATTAGTGTATAACAACCTCATAAACAGATGTAGAAAAGTAGAATATTAAATGCATCTTTTATTGGCCATAATGCAATAAAAATTACGTTCAATAAAGAGTTTTTGAAGAAAAGATCAAAAATTAATTAGAAACTAAATACCAGTACTGGAGAATAGATTGTCCAAAGAACAAATCATTAATGATTTCATCAAATCAATCAATCATCAATCAATAATTTCATCAAAGATTTGGTATGCAACCAAATCAGTTCTTAAGGGAAAATTTATATCTATAGACACTTTGATTAATGAAAGAGGGGGAAAAAAAGCAGATAATGAATTTATATCTGGAAATACTTTCTTGGAAAAAAAAAAGGTGGGGAACAAACAGAAGAAGGAATTGGACACTCAACTAAAAAAAAAACTAGAAAACCACCCAATTAAAAAACTCAATTGCACACCAAAATAGAAATCTTAAAATCAAAGGAGAGATTAAGAAAACTGAAAGCAAAAGGCCTGATGAATAAATAAAACTAGGGGCTGTTTAAGAAAAATTCATATTTAAAGAGAAAGAAGAAAATTCAATGACCAGTATCAAAAATTGAAAACGTCTTTTACAAGCAATGAAAAAAAAAATAAAAGCAATTATTAGGAGATATAAGTAAAGAAAGGGTCCTACCAAATTCTGTCTAATAAGTTTTTGATACTTAAACCAGGGAGAGTCAAAATGGAAAAAGAAAACTATAGACCAATATCCCTTATGAATATTGATGTAAAAATTATAAATAAAATACTAGCAAGGAGACCACAATTGTATATCACAAAGATCACTATGCCTAGGTTGGATTTATATCAGGAAGAAATGGCTGGTTTAATATTAGAAAAACTATAAATATAACTGACCATATTTTTATCAAAAAGAACCAAAATTGATTATTTCAATAAATAAAAGCTATTTTTTTCTTTTCTTTTTTTGTTTTTTGATGAGGCAATGGGGTTAAGTGACTTTCCCAGGGTCTCACAGTTATTAAGAGTTATTCTGTGTTTGAGGCCAGATTTGAACTCAGGTCCTCCTGAATTCAGGGCTGGTGCTCTATCCACTGCGCCACTTAGCTGCCCCAAGAGCTATTTTTCAATAGATAAATGGTCAAAGGATATGAATAGTTTTCAAGGAAAGAAATCTGATTATCATTACATATGAAAAAAATTCCCTAAACTAACGAAGTTCTGATGTTTCACCTCACTCCAATATGACTGGCAACACTCTTTACAGGCTATAACAACCATTCTTGTAAAAACCAAGATCAAGATATGTAGTGAGGATAAACTACAGACCATTTCAGTAAGATTTAGGGATAAAGCAAGAATGTTCATTACTACCACTATTATTCAATACATACAATGTGGAAATGTAAATCAGCATAAAGACAAGAAAAGGAAATTGAGGAAATATGATTAGGCAAAGGAGAAACAAAATTAACACTTTTGATGGGTGATAAAGATTATATCCCCATTTCCCACAAACTACACTGCTTTTAGACTTCTTTGAATCTCCTTTTCAATTGTTAGCAAATTTCATTGTCCTGCAAGACTGAATCTACCTAGTATTCACATCTCAGCAGTACCCTCTGCCCCTCTGATTAGATCCTCTAAGAAAAGGGCAAGGACCATGGAATCTAGCGTCTCTGTTTAATAAAGAGACTCAGCAGTCTTCTCCCTATTTCCTACAAATTACACTGCTTTTGGACATCTTTGGACTTCTCCATCATGCCCCCTTACTGATTCCACTCCTCTACCCACTTTTCAGCTTCCTTCAATTGTTCTTTTCCCCCATTAGACTATAATCTCTTCAAGAGCAGGAGCTATCTTTTTTTTTTAAACTTGTATTTATATCTCCAGTGCTTAGCATAGTGCCTGGCACTTAGTAGGCACTTAATAAATATTTGTTGACTGACTGAAAATATAGGGATGGTTTACTTAGAGCAGGGCTTCTTAAACTTTTTCCACTTGTGGCCCCTTCAGTGCTTCTTAAACTGGGTCACGACCCACAGTTTAAGAAGTGCTGACTTAGAGCACTTATACAGTCAAATGAAAAATTATCCAGAGCAAATAGTAATTTCAGCAAAGTTGTAGGACTCAAATTAAATCCATACAAATAATCAGCATTTCTATCTATTAGCAGCAAAATTCAACAGAAAGAAAAAGGGAAATTCTATTTAAAATAACTATAAAATATTTAAAATACTTAGGAGTCTCCTTACCAAGAGAGACACAGAAACTATTTGAATACAACTCTAAAACAGTGTTTATGAAAATAAAACAAACCTCAATAACTGGAGATATATGACACTGAGATGATATAATAAAAATGACAATTTTATCTAAATTAACATACTAAATTAGTGTTGTATCTAGTAGTCAACAAGCATTTATCCAGTACCCAAGGATTCCCTTAAAGGGCTAGAAAAAATAAAAACAAAATTCAGTTGGAAAAACAAAGATAAAAATTCTCAATAGTTAAAAAAAAAAGTAGTAAGAGGGCCTCAAACTATTCCACAAAGCAGTGATCATCAAAACAATTTGATATTGGTTAAGAAATAGAGAGCTTGCTCAGTGGGCTAGATTAGGTATGTATTTTTCGTGAGTCTTGAAATTTGTAGCATAAGAGGTTAATCCTTCCTTTATATGTTTTTAATGTAGCCTGTATTGCATAAAGATGGAGTAGGTATCCTAGAAAACTACATTACTCTAAAATCTTCTTAGGTTGCGTATAATGATGCCAGAAATGTTACCACTACTAATTCACTCATTTAGGTTAAATTGGAAATTCATTATTAAAATACAGGTGACCCCCAGTATTTTTATAATGATATAAACATATTAAACTTCAGTTAGTTACGTTTAGAGTGGATTTATCAGATTTATTAGCAAATCTATGACATGAGACATGACAGGTATTTTTTTTCTATGCAATGATTGGGGAGAAAGGGATATAACGTGGGGTAACTTAGGAAGAATAGATATAAATCAGATCTACATTGATAGATCCTAAGCACCAAGGGGCATTGATGATGACATTGTGAGGTAAGAAGGTACCAAAAGAATGTAAAAAGGGGAAATGGAAGGGTACAGAAGATAAACTTACAAACCATGTCCTTTTGTGTCCTAGTTATCTCTTAAGTTGGAGTTAAAGAGAACAAGACTTAGTCTCAAAGATGCAGTTATGTCTTGGAAGTCACCTTGCAGGCTGAAGCCATTTCACCTATATAAGAGAATCTGTATTTTCAACTTGGCTGCCTGGGTCTGCAATTTAACATTTCTTTAATAAAAAAGGGTAGATTTTTCTGTACCTTAGGGTGTAGGACATCAAAATTTTTCCTACCTTTTCTATTCTTTGCCTCTTCATTTATTATTGCTACATTCCACAGCTAACATTTGGCAGAGGGAAAGAGTACCTCAAGCACATCATGGAGGTCCACAAGGAGAAAGGTTATGGCTGTAGTATCTGCAACAGACGATTTGCCCTTAAAGCGACCTATCACGCACATATGGTTATTCACCGGGAAAACCTGCCTGACCCCAACGTACAGAAGTAAGGACTTTTGTGACAAAACGTTGCCTCCTGATGCTTGTTCTGTAGTCCCTGCTGGAATTGTGGTTGAGAGGAATGGCTATACTTGTATATTAATAAATATTTTATTGAGTAATTTGCAGGACCTCAACATTTTTCTCAAAGTTTTGTGGCTAATGCACACATTTATTTGCTGTATAGGGTTGAAAAATATAATAGTATGATATGGTTATTCTCATCTCCATCGTTATACAGATAATTATAATTCTTAAACACTTAAGGAACAGATTAAGTTAGTCATGGACATTCCTGACAGTATAGTATTTATGCTTATTTAGATGAAGTTTGAAAAATCTGTTTAATATCTTGTTTACTTTGTCTTCAGTTAATAAATAAAATTTCTGTTTTATTGCAAATTACTAAAATAATGGCTGTATGTGAGCTCACTGTCCAATAGGTTTTTCTCTTGTTTTAGGTACATTCATCCATGTGAAATTTGTGGAAGGATCTTTAATAGCATAGGAAACTTGGAACGACATAAGCTCATACACACAGGTAGTATATTTATTCCTATTGCTCCAGCCTGCCTATTGCTAATATTAACACGTTCCAATTGTAATCTTATTGGGAAAATTGTTTAGCAACCTACTGCAAGCTATAAGGATAACTAATAATACATTTAAATAGCATTTTAAGGTTTGCAAAATTCCTCAGATCAACTCTTTGATGTAGGCAGTGTAAATATTCTTATTCCCATTTTACAGAAGAAGAAGCTGAGACTCCGGCAGATTAAATGATATGGCTGCCTTCACAAAACTAATAAGTATCAGAGGTGAATCTCTGAAACAACTCTAAAATTCTCTCTGGAGACTGAATCCCTTAGCTTAAAATACTGTGCTGTTTTTTTCTAGATGTTGAAGAATTAACCCAGCATTTGTGGCCAAGACATTACTCTTTATTATAATTGCATTTGCAATGGGAGAGACACTCAAACACAGACACAGCATCTTAGTGTCACCAAGAAGCTCTGCTGTGTGTCTGGGCAAGGCAAATGATTTTTATAATCTTGTGCAAACAAAATCAAATGAGGGAAGTACAAAGTTAGCAGGGTGAGGCGGGGACAACTTTTAGGAAACTGATGAGAGTCAATTAGCTTGGTGACCAAGGAGGTTTTTTGTAATATTCTGAGGAAGGTAAAATATTAATACATAATTGATTACAGCAATCTAAGCAAGTGGTTTTCCATTGTTTTAACAAAGGAGCAAGGTTTTTAATGGGAAAAGTTTCTAATACTGGTAGACTTTTCAAGCCGTGTCAAGCTCCCCAGAAGCACAACAAAATGAAATTCCACATTATCCCTCTTTTTTATGCTTATAGAGTACATATGTCATTACTCTGAAAATCAGGGACAAGTGATTCTATAAAAGTCAAAGACAACAAGGTGCACATAATTTCTTTGGTAGAGATTATTGCTAGTAGTTGCCTGGCAGAAGGAATAAGAAAGGCAGCAACCACTAATCACATCCTCAAAGATTAGGACATTGATGCAGGTAAGGAAAGTGAAGTTGTCTTTCATGACCTACCTCCTGGCTTTCAGAGGCCTGGCTAGTTACCCACCCAGATGAACTGATCTTTTCTTCATGACTATAAGGCTTCAAGGGAGAAAGAGGTATAGATCCAGTATTCTTGTCCTCATAGGGCACAGAACTCGCATTGCTAACCAGGATATAATGACCATGTCCATGTCTGGGAGATAAGGAGTAGAGCAAGATTTCTCTGTTCCTGTTTGGACAGATTTAGATCTTTGGCAGCTTGGTAAATGAAAGTCACAAAGATGTTATCAGTCCAAGGCTTGAAGGTTCGTTTGTGCCATCCCTTCAGATTAATGGTAGATCTGGTGGCTCCTCAAGAACAGGGACATTTTTGCAGTATGTGGTACAAATTCATGTGGAAAGGCCTTCCCATTTTGCCAAGGTGTTCACAGTAATGAAAACTGGGTTATGGGACCTTCGATTAGGATTTCAGGGAATTCTGACACTCATGGATTTTCACATGAACCCCATCAGTAGGTTCATAAGGATAGCAGTGGTCTTCTGGTTCTTTGGCATAGCACATTGTACTTGTATATGGGAGTATCCTATCATTAGAGCATTAACAGTAATTTAAGATGTCACCAACTACTGTAGGTCTGAAAAATAGCTACTCATTAAAAATTTTAATGTGGAACAAATCCAGTTTTCCTAATGGTAAGGTATCTATATGGCTTTTTAAATTTAATTTCAGCAAAATTTCTGCTGTCCCATTTAAATTCCATTTTGTCATTTTCTTGCCCCTGAAGCTTAGTCTCAGGACAGTGGAAATGTTAGGTCAGTAGTACCTTAAAACTGAGTTCCTTTATAATTTGTACTTTAAATTGAATAACTCTGTCATTGCTGATGTGTTTATCTCATGAGGCAAGTTATCAAATCTAGGAATTAATTTTCTCAGAAATGTTTCACTAATTAATTGTTACAGTGATTCTTGGCCAGGATAGACCAAACACATCCTGAACACATGTACAATTGGAAAAATTATCATTAAACATATTCATTCTTATTCAGGGCTCTATCTTTCTAAGGATTAATTAATCATATATATATATACATATATATATATACATATATATATATGTATATATATATGTATGTATATATGTATATATAGAAGAGAAGATGGGAAAAGAAAAACATGTGTTAGTATTCAACCATGAAAAGAGCAGTTAAAACTTTTAACTTTTTCTCGTATTAATTCTAGTTTTTCTGTGGCCATCTCTTTGTATTAACTTAATTGTTTGGGCTTAATTTTTCTCCCTACAGTTTCTCAAGCACATTATTTCTCATTGCTTTTCTCCCTCTTAAAAGATACAATTTTGTTTTGATTTAGAACATTCCTAGAGTTTTCCTAAGTATAAGATTAATACTATTTAAAAATGGACAGATTCAAGTACTATGCAGGATCTACCATCAATAAACCAATAAGCAATAGCCATCCATAGCTGACAAAAATGCTTTAACTAGGTTACTCTGAACAAAATATACATAACACAAATCAGACACTGTTAAGTTTGTGTAGGGTCAGGGCTCACCGTCTTGAATGACAACCATCAAAACCTTCCAACCCATCTCACACATCTACCTTATAATAACCAGAACTAAAACAAGCTAACAGACTAGCCAGCGTCTTCAGGAAACTTGTGTTTTATGAGGCAAGTTGGTTATCAGAAGACTAAAATCATGATTGTAAAGAAGGAAGTGGTGCACTAAACAGATTTGTTACTAATTAATTCAGCTTTCAGACCTGATTACGTATTTTAAACATGTCTATCTCATTACCTAGTTTTGTGGCTTACTCATTAATTTGAATTTTAATGTTTAATTTAGATTTGATTTAATTTTTTAAAGGTGTAAAAAGTCATGCTTGTGAGCAATGTGGTAAATCCTTTGCCAGAAAAGATATGCTTAAAGAACACATGAGAGTACATGATAACATCAGGGAATACTTATGTGCAGAATGTGGAAAAGGTAGGTATGTCATTCTATTTAATGTAATTCACTTACAATGCATGCATTAAGTAAACAATGGAGGGAGTAAACAGTGGTACTAATCTAGTACAGATGTGGCAAAGTACTTTTTTCAATGTCACCCCTCTCTACTTTAGCCTCATTTAACTTTGATCTTGACTTGAAGCAGCTATTAAAATAAGAGTTGCAGAATTTTCCCTTCTCCTTAGCTAGCCAAAATGCCATTTGTGACAGGTATTTGGTCATAGTCCAGGAGGCTGAGAAAAAACAATTTCCTTAGTCAATAGACTTACACGTATCTGACATTCAGCGTCTGCTTATTTTGGGAAACACCTCCTTCAGTTCCACTTGTCGATCTTTTCCTCCTAACAATAGTTAGAAATTGCTTCAAAGACTTTTGTTCCCTTTGCTAGCTAGCTAGTGTCACAAGTCAGCCTAAAAATCACTAAAATGGTCCCTGAAATAGCAGAGTGGCTTGTTTCCCATTCTTAATAAAAAAAATGTATTGAACTCATATTAATTCAAACTCTACTGCTTTAGTTTTATAATTCTTAAAAATGCTAAGCTAAAGTTAACCTTTTCACTATCATTGAGAAAGGCTGATCAAGCAGATAATTGGGGGACTGTGCCATGCAATTACTAGTATGATAAATAGAAGGGAAAATTTATCTACCTGAAAGAAAAAAAAATAAGCCAAATGATTCTTTAAGCCATGTAGGAGTACTCCTTGATAACAATGATGGCCTTTAATATGCCAAGATGATGCTATTGATGCCTGCCTTTGAAAAAAGGAAAGCTAGCCACTGACATACATTTAAAATCAAATGGCATAACTGTAAGCAGAGACTGTTACCCCTCAGGCTAATGTTCTGTGGGTATGTTCTTTTCTATGTAGGCACTGACTTGATTTATCTGCAGCCCATGAATGCCAAAAGTAATGATATGTCATTTCTTTCTTTTAAATTAGTCTATAACTGAGACTTTTAGGAATTCAAATTGTTGAGGTTATAGTTACATATATATATATATATATATATATATATATATATATATATATATATATGTATATATATATATATTTAAAATCTACATGATCATCTCTGAGATTCATTTTAAAAGGTAGGTTTAAAGTTTAATATTAAAATATGCATAATAGAATTTTCTTGAGTTTAACAACCTCATTGCTTTTTAATGCTGTTTCCTTTTTAAATTAATATTGGGTTTTGTTTTCTTGAAAATACAAATAAAATTACTCAAAACTTTCAAAGCTACTTTTATTATTGCTTAACCTAATGTCAGATACTTTAAACATGTAGTCCTAGGGTTAAAATGTAGGTTTTTGATGACACTAACTTAATAACTTTATACCTGCATTGTCAGTTCAAGGTTGGGTAAAAGATTAGATAAATGTGAATTATACCATAGACTAGGTGCCTTTAGAAGTTAGGTGTAAGAATTCATTGTTGTTACCAGTCTATGTACAATCCCAAGGGCATGGCAGGATTGGGACATTATATGCTTCTCTGTTTCTTTTTTTCCTCACAGGCATGAAAACCAAACATGCTCTTCGTCACCATATGAAACTCCATAAAGGTATCAAGGAATATGAATGCAAGGAGTGCCATAGGAAATTTGCTCAAAAGGTCAACATGTTGAAGCACTACAAAAGACATACAGGTCAGTGAGTAGCTAGAAAGAAACAGGCTCATCTTCTGTCTTTTCATCTAGAAAGCTAATTGTTGGTCAGCTAATGGCTAGATGATTGGAGTACATGAACTCTTGAAGTTCCTTCCATCTCAATCTAACATTTATTTAGCATGGCAAGGCATAAATACACAGTGACTGAAAGTTAATGTAAAATTTGTGTCTGTTTTCCTATATTCAAGATTATGAGAAATACATATAACATAACAAGTTCATACTATAGATTTTTTTTAATTGACCAAAATTCTTGACCTAAACTCAATTTTACACTTTTAATTCTATACTCACTGATTTTCAGAATGATTACCTAAAGATACAGATCATGAAAGCAAAATACATTTTATTTATCTTTATTATACTAAACTAAAACCAGTATTTATAGCATTCATTTAGCAGGAATTTATAATAATATACCCTTTTATGGATATTTTGTTTGAACACATCAATCACTTCACCAAAAACAACCCACCTTCCACAGTATCTTTTTATTTAAATAAAAGAAAGTTAAGCAAAATTACCTAATAGAGTGATTACAATCAACCATACATGTAACTTTCCCTCTTTGAAATTATTTTAAAAAGGTGAACAAAAATGGAAAATTTATTAAACTTTATTTAGAACCAGTATTATCCATTGTATTTGACCTGTGGTATTACCTTTTAGTGTTGCCTGCATTTACCTTACCATATATAAAGTGTGGGTTGTTCTTTTGGATTTTCATGCTTTAGTAGTTCATACAAGTCTTTCCATTTTTCCCTGAATTCTTCATATTCATTATTCCTTTATTTTGGAGTGAACCTGTGATTTCATTGGTAAAAACACTTCCACTGAAGAAACTGTATATCAATGCACTTTAGTTCATGCAGCATATATGGTACTTAGAGGCCAAATCACTTCCCCAGGGTTACATAATCATGAAGTGTCAATAAGTCAATAAATATTAAGCACCTACTATGTGTTAGTCACTTGCTAGGGATATGAACAAAAGCAAAAGACAGTACCTGCTCTCTAGTAGCTCACAGGAGACAACATGGAAATGAATGTACATAAACTATATGCAGGATTAATAGAAAATAGTTAAAAGAGAGAAGGCACTAGAATTAAAGGGGATGAGAAAGGCTTCCCATGGAAGATGGGATTTGGCCTGGAACTTTAAGTTAGTCAGGAGGCAGAGATGAGGAGAAAGTGCATTCTAGATACAGGGGACAGCCATACAAAATGGCCAAGACGTGACTGATGGAGTGTCTTGTTGAAGAAACATTAAGCAGACCAATATCACCTGGTCAAAGTGTACATGGCAGGAAGATAATGGTATAATAATAATAATAATTTAACATTTATATAGCATTTACTGTGTACACTTTACAAATATTACCTCATTTGATCCTCACAACAACCCTGGCAGGTAGGTGCTATTATTATCCTCATTTTATAGATGACGACACTGAAGCAAACAAGAGGTTAATCACTTTAACAACTTGGATGGATTGGAGTGTCAAGAGCCTTGCAGCAGGAAGACCAATCAGCAGATTATTGAAATAGCCCAAGCATGAGGAGATGAGGACCTGTCCCAGGATGGTGGCAATATCAAAAGAAAGGGATATATTCTATAATCTAAATATTAGTATCTCTTAGATGTTAGTTACATCTCTTATTGTAATGGTGAAATTGACAGGTCTTAGCAACAGATTAGATGGGGGGAAGAGGGGTGTGTGAGAGACAGAAGTCGAGGATACTGAGATTATGGTGGCACCCTCAACAGTAACAGGAAAGTTAGGAAGGGGAAAAGGTTTAGGGGAACTATGATGAGATCAGCTTTGGACGTGCTGAGTTTAAGATGTCTATTGGACATCTAGTTTGAGATATCCGAAAGGCAGCTGGAAATGCAAGGCTGGACAGAGAGGTTAAGGCTGAATAAGATGAGTATATTTGAGAATCATCAGTATAGAGATGGTAATTAAATCCATGGTGGCTGACAAGATTAGCAAGAGAAGTAGTAAAGAGGGAGAAGAGGACAGAGCCCTGTGGATATCCATGACTAGTGGAAGTAGCCTGTTTGAAAATCCAGTAAAGGAGACTAAGAAGGAATAGTCAGATATGTGGGGAACTTGAACATAGTTTTTACACTCTTAAGACTAGCTCTATCCACTACACCATGCTGCCTCAGCATTCCTTATGATGCAATAATATTTCATTAAATTAATATTCCATAATCTGTTCTATTTCCCTTTCATTGGATTCATAATTTCAAATTTTTTTTCCTGTTATGTACAGTGCTGCTATTTTGGAGCCCTAATACACTTTTAGAAAGATTTCCAACAATAATCAGAAACAAAAACCTCAGGTGAATCAGAGAATTTGATTAATCATTGCATTACTCAGCCATCCTGGCTAATCAATAACAACTTCATTAACCATAGCAGCACTTTATGAGAAAATAACTGCTTATATATTGTTGGCTGTGGTGTTTCCTCCTGTGAGTGTAATTGTCTCATCACAAGGCAATTATTCTTAGTGATCTAGTTGTCGAAATAAAAATACTGGACACTTTAATTGTAACAGTTTTTCTTTGTTTAGAATTTCACTGAGAAGTGTTTTGGCAAACAACAATTTTTAACAAGTTTCAGTGAGTCAAAGAACTAGAAAGGACACCTCAGAGATCATCTAATCCAACTTCTTATTGTACAAATGAGAAAACTGAGGCCTAGAGAAGGCAAGTCACTTCCCCAAGGTCATGCAACTAATTAATAACAGAGTGTGCAACAAGAACTCAAGATGCTTAATTCCCCAGTGAAACACAGCTGTACATTTATGTCCACATCTACACCCATTCTTTAGGTGGACTTTTCAAAATAATATGTCTTATTCATTCCTTTCAAATCTTCAGTCTTGTTTGTTTGGAAAGTAAAATCTGGCCTAGTATGTTTTGCACTTGCTAATAATAATCCAAATTCCAAGACAAACCTTTTACTTTATAGAATTATTATAGCAGTCTAATCAAGTAATTTGAATTACTGAATAGTCAGTAGAAAATTTTCAAATATAAAACTTTTTGAAAGGTATTGTCTTCCCAAGTTATGAAGCCATACCACAAAATTTCACTTCATTAGATTCCTGCCAATTTAAAATTTGTTGTTGATTAATACAAGATAATCTGCATGCCTACAACCTTCCTTGGATGTGATAGCCATTTCTTGGGCTCCTTCTCTGGAAAATAAACCATGTTTTCCCATCACTCATCTTCCTACCATAGCACAATAAATATCATCAAAAGTTGATAAAGCAAATGTTCTACTATGCCATTACTTCCCTAGAGGTCATGTGATTGGCTTGAAGCTATTAGAGTAACCATAGTAGCCAGGGTACCTGGCGTGGGGGCTGGGGAATAGAGAGAAATATCTAGTTTGGTCTTATTCTGATAAATACATATGCCTCTGAGCCCAGTATAGGCTAGTTCACTGTCCATCAGTATGCATTAGTTCTAGAATTACCACATCGAACCAAGTAGGGAGAAACGAGCAACCAAGTAAGTGTGTGAAAAATATAAAAGACATAACTCTTACTAGCTGTGTGACCCTCGGCAAGTCACTTAACCCCCATTGCCCAGCTGAAAAACAAAGAAACAAAAACAAAAAAATACAAATACAAAACAGACCTCGTTTCTTCATAGCCCCCATCCACTTCTGCAATAACAGTGTCAGTATTGAGAAAGGGACCAAAGTATCTTAAGATAATAACCTCATTATATTCTCCCCATCCTAGTAATTTTGAACCCCAGACATCATTGTACCAACTCCATTTCCCAAGACATACTGACTGCTCCCTATTCTCAAACCCTTCAAGATGATTTCTCTCCACACTTTACCACTCCAGATCTCTCTCCCCCTTCCACCATTCTCTCTGGAATGCCTTTTTCCTTACTCATATCCTTCATCTTCTTTTACTATGAGACCTGACTCCCAACTAATGAAATAGTATCCCTGTCCTTTTGTAGCACTGCTTATTCTCTTGACTCACTAGTCATGGTGGAGGAGTTGGGTTTTCTCAATTTGCTCATTTTTTATGACTGAACTCTCCCTCAACTCTACCTCAGCTACGAGATAATCATAACCTTTGATCCTGTTGTCACTCATAAATTTTCCACTATTATGTATGGTAAACTATGAAATAATTTTATCTGATCATAATCTTTAATCATTCCATCTTTCCCTCTGCCCTACAAATCCTAACCCTGTTCATCCCCACTGTGTCTGCCAGTCTTTCCACCTCTCAGTTCATTTTTCCAGGCCATCAGCCACGTACTGGCTACAATCTCCTCCTTTCCCCTATTTTGACTCTCTTATTTGAACCAGTTCAAATCTACACTATCCTCTTCTCAAGTTCCTTTCCTCCTTATCCTGTCATCAAGGTATATGAGTATTCAGGGAGGACTAGCAACTCTGCTATGAGGACTTGCTGAGCCCTTTTCAGGGCTGCTCGTGTACCTTTGGTGTCCACCTTCATCAAACTCTCACCTGTGGCTCTAAGAAACTCTAGCATATGCAGCAGCCACATCCCAGTAAAACCATCTTGGCAGACAGGCTAAACAAGTTGAGGGTAACCAACAGGCCGCAAACTCATCAGCAGGTTAGGGGGATATCTAGCATAAATATGTGGAGACTTCCCCCAACAGAATGGGTCCTCTTCAAAACAAAGGACAAACAATCTTATCACCAATCTTGCCCTGCCAAACCCCCGCCTTGGAGTATTTCTGCTATCTGCTGCCTGTGTCCCTGTTCATGTGCTGCTGAATGAAGCAGGTGAAAAATGATGAAAATGTTTTGGTTAAGTCCACTACAAATTTATACTACATAATCTCAACTGGACCTTCACTGCAGCAAAGCAATCCTTTTAAATCCCCCTAATTGATTCATTATCTCACTTATCACAAGGACATTTCCAAACCTTTTCATTCCTCCTCAAACTCTTATTAC